GTCCAACTTTTTCTTCATTTGAAAGTTTAGTTAATGGGGCACAAGTATAAATGCTTTCAATTTTCTCCTTGCTGTGTGCTAACATACAATCAGCAACCTTGGTAGACGGTAGTGTAGCAGCGTTCCTTGATAATCCCTCAAAATGCTTAACTGCATTCAGAGCTATGGTTGAGTAGAAGCAAGAATAAAATCTTTCAGCATTTCCAGACTTTATCAAGCGTTTATATAGGTCTTCAATGTCACAGAATCCAGCTGCTATGTCTTGTAGACCGTTGTTGTAGGTGTAGGATCTTAGCTCGTCTCTGATTGATTTTGGATAGATTTTGTTGTCAGCAATTTTGTGTTTAGCTTTTTATTAAAAAATAAAATTATTAAAAAAAAACTTTCTTGAGTAGACTACAAAAGTTACATAGCTCTCTTGTCCTCCTTTCTCAAAATCTTCTCTCGTATCTTTGTGTTTAACTGTCTTGTTTCGTTTCAGTCCGCTCTTGCTTTTGCATTTCTTGTGGCACAATTCACACACAACGCTTTCGAGTTGAACCTGTTGTAAACAAAAGTAACTTTATAATTACATCGTGAGTACAGTACGATACATAGTATAACGATTTAGTAATGATACGAGTCACTACAAAAAAAACAGCACCGATGATACCAGATGATAGTCGATCGAGCTGAAAGAAGATGAACGTCAAAGCACAGCGCTTTTCGCTAAATTCTGGATGGCTAAGAAAGAATCTAATACTTACTTCATCAGTAGCTTCTCTAAACTGTTTATCAAGCTCTTCTTCTTCTTCCAAAATATCTAAAATAGCGTCAAAATCGTCTCCAATGAAAAACAAATCGTTCGTGTCCGCCATATTGTTTTGGAGTGTGCACGGTCAATGTCACGTGATGGTGCAATTCAACCTCTAACGAGAAACAAAAGGCCGGCCCTTTGACGTTTGCCGGGTTTCATAACCAGTCCTCTCTACTAACTATGCTTCTATGAAGCAGATACTCGGCAAACTCGCTGTCAGTTGAGTCGTCGAAGCCACTATTACCCTTTCTTTTTCTCCAGAGAGTGAAAACACTTTCCCTGGGCCGAATATATTTGACAGAGCCAGGCAAACGTGGACGACCGGCTCCTCGACGAGCAGGTTCCGCCATCTTCAATACAACCACTCAAGACATGTCCGAAGTAATTCTCCAAAATATATCATGAAACGATGAACGACTACAAAAAAACACTATAAAATTTTCTACAGATAAATATACCACTTATATGTTTGGAAAAATGATATAACAATTGCGTGATTACGCCGATAGCAATGGGTTTCCAAGCATCAATAGACACGACGACGAAATCCGCCATTTTCAACTACGAAAAAATCTATCAAGGCGCGCGCGGTGCATTCTGGCTGAAAGTGGGCCTTTTAAAAATCGAAAACGTTTGAAACCTGATACTTTTGTTTTCCTCGCAAAGGTTTGTAACCTGAAACTCTTGTTTTCTCGAAAACACACGGAAGATGTGTTTCAGTGTATTCTTTTCACAGCTGGAGATAAATGGGAGAAAGTTGAATGTCGGATGAAGAAATGGAAGAGGAACGATTTGCTTTATTTAAAACACGCGCAAATTTTCTTTTGACCGATAAACAAGAACTAATCTAATTATCAAATTGTCACGGATCCAGAACAGCACATTCTGTTGCCACCTTTGGCGTTAACAATAAAACCACTTATATTTAAAATACACACTGATATCGATTAA